GCTTACTCAGGTAATATTATTTTTCTTCTCAGGTCTTTGATGAAATTAAAGACTAGATGGTCACAGTTACTATCCTCTATTACCTTAGCAAAGACATACTAGGTACAGGACTTACATTCTTCTGAACAGAAGAGCTATTGGAATAATCTCTGTAATTTACCATTCACCTATGATTTGTACATTTAGTATGTGTTTCTTACTTGATCTTGTCCTTGTTGGTTGTAGTTCTTTTTTGTGTATGTTATTACCCTCTCTTTACCCTGGAGAATACTTGACAATAGTTATTATTGTATACCATTTTGTAAATAGATTTGGAACGTTATTTAGTCAAAATGGGGAAGTGTGGTGGGTATTCATGCCTCTGACCTTGGGCTATTCGACCCAATAGAGGCAGTACTTCTTGTCTGCTGATATGACCTCTTAAAAGGGAAAAGGAGATGATTACTTGCTTTCTCCTGTAGTGGTTGGAAATCAAACTACTGGTTCCATTAACCCCCGGGCAGAACGGAGGACCATGGTGGCTATTTACTTTGTTGTGTATAATAAATCCTTGATAGCCCGTTAAATGGGATCTTGTGGTTTCACCAACAGATGGAATATACTTTAGTGATAAATTCCTGTTTCTTCTACTAATTTAACCCCAAATACATGTATATTTCAAAAGAGTATGTGTATATGTGATTTTAGCAAATTACACTATATTTACTTTGTAGTATATAAAATAAGCAAAGTTATAAATTACACTTCCTAGGTGTCTGTGGCATTAAAATACAGCATATTTTACTTGCAAGGGGATTTTTATTCCAAACAGGTATTAAACATGACAATCTGACAATATATTCTTGGGATGCTGTCATATCTAGTTTCAGACCAGCTGACAAGACCTCAGTTGGCCTCTACAAGTCGGTTAAGAGCATTTCTGAAACCATCCTATTGGCCATGTTCCAGCTGTCACTTGGAAAAAATATGATCAACTGAGATCTGTCTGTGCAGCAGAAAGCCAGTCATATCACTCACTCCAATAGAGCTTTTGTGGGGAAAAGGCCTTATCAAATTCCTTGGACATGAAGTTACTGTTGGAGCCATTGTATATCCAAACTATTCCGTCACTAGGCAAGAAGCTGCAGCTTTTAAAAGGTCACAATGTACTAATAATGATCTAAACCATGCTGTTTTTGTTGGAAAGAGAAGTGGAAATGGTTACACAGTAATACTTTTTAAACTCTGCCCTTACCTCTTTCAGTAGTGTTAAACTGTATGCTGTTTTAAGTAAAATACAACACCCTGATGTAACCTGATCTAATTACTGACACATAGGTAAGAGACTAGCAATAAGCTTAACCCCATCATGAACTTGTTATATCCACAGTGTAGGATTCAAGTCATAGAAATGGAAATGTGTGCAAAGGGCTTGGGGATCTGTGTGTGTGTGTGTGTGTTTTTTGTGTGTGTGTGTACATATGTGTGTATGTGTATATATATATATATATATATATATATATATATATATATATATATAAATGAGGCATTCATAGATATATATGTCTCATAAAGAGCAGTCCACTTGGTTAATAATGGAGAAAAAGTTGTATTCATTCCTCTTTGTTGATCATATAGAGAAAATATGTTTTAAATGAAGCACGCCCTGCTAGCAGATACCACTTTACTTGAATCCTAAAGGAAGTTCAGAAGATGAATCTTAAAAATAAAATAAATGGGAGGGTTTTCAGTATTATGTCTACAACATAAAACGAAGCTTTAGAGAAAGTGGAAGAACTTAAATGCAATAATAGAATTACACTTTATTCAACATGTACTAGCATACGTTTTAGTTATTTCAACTCATTATCTACCTGTAACGTCAAAGATCTTATCCAAACTGTCAAAGCTCCTAAGTCAGTTCATAGATGCAGCTACTTTTAACATATGGATTTCCATAAAAGTTTTAATCATCATTCCCCTGCATGCCATTATGAAAAGCATGCTACTCTCCATGGTATGGAGGGCAGGCAATCCAAAGCTCTTGTTCAGACACACTTTGGGGTAAGTTCCACCCTTGCTCCTTCGAGCGCTGGGAGTGGCCTGTTCTAGTGGAATGCAAACTTGTGACTTCTCATAGTGACAAAAGAGCTGGGAATGTTACAACTGTGATCCAGAATACATGGAGTGACATGCTAAATTCTCTTTGTGAAGCTTCATTTGATGCATAGGAAGTGTTTAACATGGTTTCTATAATATTATTAAACATTCTCTTCACCAGAAGACAAGAGGGGAACAATGTCTTTAAGTAAGTTATGTTTTAAAATGTCTAATGACTTATCTCCTCTTCACTTTACCTTAGCTCTGAAAAATCTTTAATATCACATTAAGAATTTTTTGTCATAAAATCCATTAAGTAGAATTAGCATTTACTAATGTTAACCAATGTATATAATTGTGGTACCCGAAGTCAGAGGATGCTCATTAAGATGCTTTAGTGATTTGCAACACTCATCCCACTTTGAAAGCCTCAGATGTGCTTATTACTCATGACCTATTCATTTTGGAGTTAAGAAAAAGTAGAACTCTTCTCTAGAGTCAGAAATATTTGGGAACATAGCTGAATAATATATTAGAAGGATATATTCCAGTGTTAAGTATATTTGGTAGAGTAATCATAACTCTATGCACAAAGTATGCAAATAAGAATGTAGGTTTTGTATCTGAAAAATGTAAGTTATGAGATCATATGCTTTATGCTAAAAATGTGGATACATTTTTAGATATTGTCTATTACTGGTGTTCCAGAAAACATATTTCTTTGTATTTCATTGTAAGACTTTATTTCACTTAAAAATAGTTTACTTCAGTTATTTAAACCTTGGCATAATAATGGGCATGCCAACATTCTTTCTTTGTAAATCAAGAAAAAAGTGAAAAAGTCCATAATTTGGCAAATTTATCTTACTATTAAGCAGTGTCCTGCTGTATTATTAGAGACATTAGCCTCTTCAACTACATACATGTCTAACTTTTATGTTATTTAAATCTCTAATTAAAATACTTTTATTGAATGTCTTTTCTTAAACCTGGTATGACTTTTAAACATATCAAGTTCATGTTTGTGCATTTTGGGAAATACACATGAATTAGAGAGCAAATGCATGTCACTGATACTGTGAAGCTCCTAAGTGGCCCACACTAGCAGTCTCTGGGATTGCAGTAGAAACACCTTCCCACAGCCATGGCTGGCTGTGTATCTCGGTCTCTCATAATTCTAGGTCTAGGTAGTTTGGAGAAAAGGATTTATCCACATGTTCTACTGTTTCTCTGATTACACTGAGAACATGGTGTTTCTTAGAAAAAAAAACTGATCCAGGAATTATTTAGGAGTATTATTATTGCAATAAATAATTTGTGGATTGTTGGAAAAATCATGTTATCATTTATGTTTCACAGGTGTTTATGTATTTGTATAAGTGGGTAAGCATGAGCCCGAGAGCCAAGAGGTCACTCCAATATTGCGTTCAACCTCGATGTCAGTTTAGAATGAAGAACGTGTGTATAAGTGGGCAAGCATGAGCCACAGAGTCAAGAGGTCACTCCAATATTGCCTTCAATCTCGATGTCAGTTTAGAATGAAGAACGTGTTAAGGAGCAAATGCTCCATCTTTGTTTGTTTGTTTTGTTTGTTTAAAGCCAGCCCAGGAAACAACGTTTGTAAAAAGAACTTCCCTATAGTTTCTTGCACATCAAGGTAGCAGTCTCATTGACTAGCTTTACCAGTTTTGGTCACATTTTTCACACTTGCTCTTTTCCTTGCTTTCTCTCTTTGGTTTTCAAGAAGTTTATGAACACAATTCTGACAGTCGATCCTTTGGTGTATATCCTCAGAATGGAGAAGATGTCGAAGGAATTCAGTACAGTAAGAATTACCGACATAGATCCCCAATTCGGACAGAAATATAAAGTCCTCAGGAGTAGAATGCATGTTTCTACTCCCTCTGCTTTTTGTCAGTCTTAGGAGGTACAATGAATTTAATGACTTTTGCCGTGGAATTATTATGAAACCAGGAAATTAAAAGGCTACCCTGAATCCTGCCATGAACTACCAAGGAGACTGCTTTGACTATCTGACAACAGCTGAGTTTCTAATTACTTTACAGTCTAAGGAGCATCTCTATTCATGAACGACACAAGAAGTTTCCTGGTGGCAGTTCCTATGGCAGATAGTATTTCTATGCCTAAAAATGCAGGGTGTGGGTCACCCTGGCAGAAGTTTTACCATATCTAAACAATTAGCTGCTTTCTTAGCACCTATATTTTTAGTAATGTAACATGTTATATAAGTCTTTAAGTATTCTGTTTAAGTTTTTTGATTTATCTTATCTTATATGTATGACTATGTTTTGCCTACACATATGCATGTACACCGTGTGTGCGTGTGCTGGTCAGAGAGATCTCAGGGGGCATCAGATCTCCTACAAATGATTTATAAATAATTGTGAACCACTATGTTGTGTGGTGAGAACTGAACCTGTACTTTCCTCAGAAACAAATACTCTTTCCTAGTGATCCATCTCTGGAGAAGTGGAGCCCAAACTTCAGAGTAACTTAGTTTTTAATTTTGTTGTTAGTTAGTGGTTTTGCTTCATTTTGTCAATATATGATGTGATTTTATATTTTTGCTTGTCACCTCTCCAAGATGACAACAGTGAAGTTACTAAATTGGCTACAAGTGGTAGATAGTAAAGAGTTCTGATGATTACATATTTCCTATGAAACATGAAAAAGCTTAATCTACATAGGATACTTTTGCTATACTGTGCCTCCCCCACCCCTTGTCACTGACAGCGTTATCAGCCTCATGAACATGTGAAGTGGGATCAAAGGATGCCTTGAGATAGTGGGTGGTTACCCAGCTTATTGAGTGCTAATATTAAAGCTGATAATGACTTTAAAGCTACCTAACCCTTGTGTTCCCCCCCCCCCACGTCATCTATTTTCCTTTTCTTTTTCAGGTTACCTCTAATGGTCACTCAGAAAGCATTTAATGAAAAAGTGCTCCATAAAGGTAGGAAAAAACTTTTTTATTATAAATTTGTTTTAATTATTTCAAAATATACCGTCATCATTAGATGTAGGTAGGACTGATGCTGCTTGATGTCAATGGCATGCAGTATCTCTGCCTAATTGCTAACTTGACTTCGTCATGGTGTTTGTCAGTTTGAATATTTTTCTGCTGTATTTGTTTGTTTTACTGAAAACATCATTGCATTTTATATATGTAGACATTTCTTTCATTACATTCTCCATGACTTTATAATAACTTGAACACACTATATATAATTTCCATCCTTCAGGAAGCTTCACAGAAAGACAGACAGTGATATTGATTACATCTTCTGTTCAATAATTGTATATTTTTATTGCTTTTCTATGCCTATACATTTTAAGTAAATAGAATAAACATTTAACACACAAATCCTAGTTGTGAACAATTTAACAATATAAATGTTAATTTGGAATGATTTTCTTCAGTATTTACTTTGCTTAAAAGTACTGAAAATGCAGCTCTTATTTGGCTAGGACGTACATGAAGATAAATTTAGAGTTTCTAGTCTAGTAACTACTTCTCTGATAATAACTTAATTGTAGCCATTTCAAACCAAATTGGTTAATTGTGGTGAATCATATGCAGATTGCTCAGCTGTGGGTCAGCCCCCACTCCCACACTCTAGAACCTCCTTTCTAATTCAGGACAGGCTGCTTCATGCCTCACAGCACAGAACAGTACAGATCAGAGACCTTGGATAAAACCAAACAGTAACATAAAAGTTAACAGTGCTCCAAGAGTCAGAATGTTCCCGTAAAAAGGGAAGATAGACTGTATTGATTTAGAGCTGGCTTAATGATTCCTTAGCTTTCTTATGTTGTTGGGGAGAACTTTACTCACTTGCCAAGATTTGTGGCCTCCAAATCATGGCCTGTATGGTGATGTTTCCTCATTTGTAAAGTACATGTGCTACATCATTCATGGCAATTCATTGAACTGAAATGAAGATCGAATTAAAACAAACAAAGAGAGGTTGGGGAACACTTCTTAGGCCCATGTGGAAATAGGGTACTGGTTCTTTCGGTGCTTGGAATGAAAGATAGAGGAGTTGATTCCAGAGAATCATGTACAGGGCCATCTGAGGAGTTGATGGGAGAACACCATGTGCAGGCCATGCTGAAGCAGTCTGGGCGCAGGTACAGAAACAGGAACTCAGAGCTTCTGCTTCCTAGCTGTCGTGTGCAGGACTGGCTACAGGTGTCTCTGTACAGAAGCATGGCAGTGTTTCCTAATAGATGGACAAGCTTTCTTGACACCATTCAAACTTTATACATGTTGTCTGTTGCATTTCTCATGGAAAATATGATATCGGGTAATAAGTATATTGTAAACTGAGATTTGTATTGTTATACTCATTGGTTTTCATCTTTATTTGCCACTGCTGACATTTTTGACATTGAAAAATATGAGACTTACCGTTTATTGATTAAAAACTACATTTAGGCTTTAATTCTAAGAAATTTAAAATTCAGCATTGATGTGAACTTTTAAATTATAGCCTCCCTGGAATTTTATTGTTCCAGAATCTGAACTGGAGGCTGATATTGTAACTCAGTAATTAACTATTTTCCTAGCATGCACATTACTGTGGCTTCTATTCTCAGCTATAAAAAAGAACCATTTATACCTACAGATAATTTAATTTTTAAGAGTTCTAAATATTAGCATTTCCTGAATTATTGCAAAGCAATAATTGATTTAAAAAGCAATTATTTCTGCTAACTCAGAGAAAGAGATTCTTATTTTTAGTATTTAGTATGATGTTTACAAAACTCCATTTTAATAAAATCATTTTTTTCAAAGTAGATAATATAAACTTGCACCTCTTACATAAACCCAAGTTATGTGAATTACTTAAAATATAAAATACAGAATTATGTTGTAAATGAAGCGACATTTTCCCTAAAAGTAAGTTTCCTAACATTTGGTTATTTTCCTCTTTTGTCATGTCCTGAAGCAACAACAAAGTACTTTCATACTGTCTCCACAATTCTCAGCTTTTCTCCTCTTTAAATCTCCATCTTTGAAGATCTCCATCTAAGTCAACAATATCCATTTCCTCTTTATTAATGACTTGCATTAGATGATCTTTGGGTGTATCATAATTTATTTAATAGATCCTCTAAACATTGCTTTTAAAATAGAACTTCAAAATAAAACAGAGAAAAGCTTTCCTTAATTACACTCCTGGCAGACATACAAAAGAATAATTCCCATTTGTATATTGAATCAAGAAATGAAGGAGTGAAAAAATGTTTTGTAAGAGGTATAGAAAGTAGTAATAGGTAAGTGTGTTGCTGTCAGAGGAAAGTAAATTGTATAGATTATCAAAAAATGTGTCTTAATAGGTAAAATTGAGAATCATCCAAATTCCTCAAGATTTACCATAAATGACATCTTTTCCATAAACCTTGAGATATGATTCTCTTTCTCTGTGACAATCATTTGTCATACTGATTCATAGAAACCTGGAGAAAAACTGAATTCACTTATAAAAATTAATTTGCATTTATCTTTTTGCCCACAGTAGGCTATTTGCCTGAATTGTAATTACTGTGTATTACTCATCTTTGAAATTAATGAGTACTGAATAAATATTCATTCAGCTAAATTGGATTGAAATGAGACAAAAGAGAGTTATCATATAAAACTATTAAATCACTCATGTATTTTATAAGGTGCCATCTCTTGTTTTTATGGATTAAATCATAATTTTCTAATGGGTTAGGCATAGAAATATAAACATATAGATTGTAATGTGCAATGGAACCTATTTTGAATGAAATTTTTGTGGTTCTCTTTGGTATTTGGATACAAAATTATCTTAACATGTCATACATAATATTCACATATTTGAGAAGGTATTTATGGTATGATAAATTTACTCATATGATCTCAAAATTCTAAGCACATGTCTTGGTATGAACTTAGAATCTCTGTTACCTTTCATGTAATTTTTGCATTGTGATATTGTTATTTTTGTTCATACTCTATGAAAAAATGATTTTAATGAATTAAAAATCTTGATACTTATTTACCAAAGAGTAATAATACATGAAAGAAGAAACTGTGTGAAGTAAGAGTGTCACTTAAACATGTTCTGTGATATAAGCTGCTATTCATGCCATTTGAGTCATGGGCATTATCTCACCAACAAAATTAGAATTATCACTGGATTGAGCTGTAGTTGAAAGAACACCAGATCTCTTAGTCTGAGTTTAGTAGTAATATTCTTTAAAATATGGAGACACGATTTACTTATTTCTTTGGAAGAACATAGAGATTAACCAACATAAAAAAGGACATAGACATGACCCTTGGCAGAGTCTGTTTGTTGTCTCATCACTCTCTGGTTTCATGTTCAGCTGGATTACAAATGAAGTGCCACCAGGACCCATGCACATAAAATGAGTGTCTAGAAAAATAGCAAACTCTGAGAAATCTTGGTGAAGACAAGGGAGTAGATAATCATGTAACTTGTATCTGGACAGTGACAGCTCCTTATCTTATCATTTTTCTGAACAATTCTATATCCCAGCAATCCCAACTTCTCCAAGAATAGGATATTGAGGATAGACAATTACATATGATGTATCTTGGCTTTGCTTGGTCACTCAAATTTCAAAGGAAGGAAGATAACAAAAACATACCAAAAAGAGACAAATTATGTAATGAATTAAGTCAAGTCTTAGGTAGGAAATTCCCCACATAGCGGTGCCCCATCAAAATGTTGTAAACAATTCACAAATAGGGAAATAGAATCAAATCACTCTTATTTAAGTTCCTCTTCCATTAAAGACATCATAGTATCTTAAGAAAGGTAATAAAAATGGCACACACACACATACACACACAAAGTTAAACTTATATCTGAATGCCAGAACCCAGAAAGACAAGAACCAGAAAACAATGAGAGAATCAAGTAAGCTAGTAGAGTGTTGCTACTATATATCATGTTATTAAATATTGTTCTTGATACTTCTGATGACTATTAATTTACACTAGAAATTTATTACCTTATCTTCCTTAATTCAAGTTTTCTGCATAGCTTAATGGTGTATTACTCACACAAGGCAACAGTGGATAAGGTTAATGAATCTGCGGGAATTAAAATGGCCATGAAAGCTACATTCAGATACATTTCTATCTTGTCACACGATTGCTACTGAATAGAGTCGGTCTAATACACCAACCATTTTTTTTGAATTTTGTGTAGTTTAAGATTCCTTTTACAAGTTTGTCCTGGACTGACTCCATCTTTGCTCATCTGTCAAAACTTCCTTGGGCATATTCCCGTATATTTCATTGTACTTAGTGACCTTTACTTAAAGTTGTTCATATGTCTCTCTTCCCTGGAAGAATTGAGAATCTTTAAGCCAGGAGTAATCTTTAAAATTACTGTGTTCTGAGAAGTCAAAGTGGAGTAGTAGCATTTTGAGTTAGGCTATAATGGTATCTGAAGAATGGATATGCTCTGCCTGGTAAGCATAGCAAAGAAATAGACAATTTATGTACAAGAATAAGTTTATATGTGCAGTTGTAGATACACATGTCTAAGTGTCTGCACATGAATTAACATGTTTGTACAATTTCCTCTGTATAACCTGTCATGAATATGTCATGCATATTGTGCTTCTTGATGTGAAAATATGTATTCACATTTGCTTTTGAATTTAAAAATTTGCGTGTATGTGTCCAGAACCAAATATTATAAAGTCTTACAACTGAAGACCTTTACCTTCATTTATTCTGTAGTGACGGTCTCAGCCTCAGTGATTATTGGAATTCTTTCTTCCTTTTCAAGCTACTGGGTAGCTGTAAGAGGTCTCTCGGATTCAGGATCAAAGTCTCCACTTTCTTTAGGAGTCTCAAAAAACTGTAAGAGCTCATGATTCCAGGTTAATCAATTCTTAATTCCTCCTTTAGCTGATGCCTTTGCATTCCTAAATATTAGTTCT